ATACTCAAAAGGCTATTAAATATGTCGTTGGTGTAACGCCTCTTTGCTGGCGTCCTGTAAGCACCATTTTTTTTTCATTATATAAATAATAATCTACTAAGAAACTGACTTAAGTCATTTAACTTATTTTCTCTGTTAACAGCCTTATGGTGACTGTGATGATCGAGTTCGTGCGATTGCTCAGCAACTCAATATGTCAACCAATATCTGGAATCTCGGTACGTAAATATTTTGGTCATTAAACTGTGTAAAATTCGCTCTAATCTAACATTAATAATGTCATTTACAGACAGTAATGATTGGCAAATGGAACCTGCTGGTTCAATGACATCGGATCAAATTGATCAAATTTTCCAAGGAATTTGTGATATGGGTAAAAATGGCACCTACGCTAATTCTGGTGCAATTATTCTGGAACATGAACTGAATAATGGAACTATGTCAAAGGCTCAGCAATGGTACCCCTCAATCAAAAGTGCCTACAAATACCTTGTTCCTGTCGCCTCATGTATGAATATTGCTCATCCATATGCTGAAACCAATTACACCTATCCGTCATTTGATGAATACACTAATAGCACAACTAATTAATAGCACAAATTATTAGAGACGTGCTATATGCATCATGCAAATAATGTTGCATGATATGCAAATTGTTTAAATTTTAAACCTGCACATAGAAAATTATTACATAATTTGATTTAAAAATCTATTATAATTAATTAATAAATTCGGTAACTTTTATTAAAACTTTTATTAATGTAATTACCTTTTTTATCTTGTAAAACCCGGAGTAATTTTTTTAGAAAAAAAAAGCCCTTTTTTTAAATTTTTAAACCAAGATTTTTATTTCAGATTAATTTTAAATTAATATTAAATCAAAATTGAATTAATTTATCAAATTTAATTTGTCTAATACATGTATTTAATTGATTTAATATATAAATATAAACCAGGAATTTCATATAATTTGTTACTTAAAAAAAAAATATTTAGATATTGTATACGTTAATGTGAAATTTTAATACTATATTTATAAAATGGTGTATTTGTATGAAATAAATTATTTAAATATAGCCGAAATACAGAGATTTAATATGACAAATATTTAGATCAAATTTATACGTACAAGATCTTTTATTTTTATTTATATTTTTAAAATTAGAGTTTCAATCGATTAAGATATCGGTTATTCGTTATACAATATCCGATCTGAATTTATCTGGATATCTGTTTACTATT